ATATCTTGGACTTTAGTCTATATACATAGAGACAATTACATGGAAATGTTGAGTGCACATCTTTTTTAAGATAAGTGTATCAAACCATCTTTTTTTCTTCAGCTATCTTAATATGTAATTCATACAATGACTCAATCAACCAATGGTTGTTTCCCGGTTTTTTCTTGGCCCCTAATTTAACTTGATCCGGTCTAGTGGTTGACCTTTAAATTGCCAGTTGGACGATCATCGTTCAATAGTCAACACAAAAAAATCATCATTTTCATTTGTTTCTCTTCCTCTTCTTTAGAACGAGACTTAGCTCACGTACGTTGAAATTCAATAGCTGCGAGATTTAAGTACATCGGATTTGGTTTTGCATCATACAATCCTTTTATAACTCTAAGTCCCAAAGTTTATAAAACCTTTAATTTATTGGCAAAAAAATAAATAAAAGAAAAACTTTTTTTAATCGGATTACTTTAATTTATAATTTTATATTTTTATATGTTAAAAAGTAGAGATAAATTTAATTGTGTTGATTTTGAAACGATATACAAAAATAAGGTAGCTTTGTATTGATGAATTTAAATTTAATTTTAAAATTTAAAATTTTATATTTAAAATTATTTATTTGCATTAAAAAATTTTAAAAGTAAAAAAGAGATGAATTGAAATTTGAAACAAAAATGAAACATTAAAAGTGAAAAACTTATATCTATTCTTTAGTAAGTGAGAGACGAAAGCGAGAGATAAGATGAGATACTAGTGTAACGGAGGCACCAACAGTAAAAGCATAATAAAAACGAGATTGTTGGAGGAGTTAGAACTTCAAATAATTAAAGTCTAAAAAGAATTAAAAATTATAAAAAATTATAATAAAGCATAGATTTGAATTTAAATTAAATTCAAATTCATAAACTCTTATATATTTAAATAAAAAATTTGGTTCAAATCTAAATTAAAATTCTCACACATTCAAACCCAACACTATTTGTTAATAGGTCAAGGTGTATTTTTATTCCTAAACTTTTTTTCAAAGAGCAATTTTACCCATGTATTCATAAATGAAGTAATTTTATTCTTAAATTATTTTTTTGAGAAGCGCTAGGCATCTTGTAAAAGTTTTTTTTTTCCTCCTTAAAAAAAATTTAGGAATAAAATTACTTCACTTATAAGTATAAGAGTAAAATTGCTTTTTGAGAAAAAGTTTGAGAGTAAAAATGAACCTAAATTTTTTATTAATAACTATGAGATTGTACCTATATGGTAAATACAATGCCTACTGCCTTTTAAAATTTTCATTATTATTACTAATGACATATGAATGATACAATATTCTATATGTTTTAATAACATTGGTTTAGACATCAAATTTGTAAATTAATGTGGTAATTAGCATTAAGTTTTACATGGATAATGTGAAACAAGTATTTCATTAAAAAAGAGAGAATAATATTGTATATTTTCAAACTAAGGGAACAAATAAAATTTTTTTTATAAGATGAAATGACTAGAGTATATTTTTTATTGAAAAAAAATATAATTATTTAGTCTCTTATATTATAGTTATTTAACAATACAAGTATCCGTGCACTTTTAAAAATTATCTGGTCTTTTCGGTGGCTTAATAATTATTAAATAGCTAAAACTTCAAGGATATGGATCCGCTGAGTTAAACTTGGAGAGATGTATCTAAGTTAAAATTATAATATTAAATAATTAACTTTTTTATATGAAAAAATTACATTTAAATACCTTTCAAGAGAATTATTTACAGATAATGACCAATAACAAATTATTGTTTTAAAAAAAATTATAAATCTTTGTTATCATTTTAACAATAAATAATTTTTTATTGATCATTATTTACAAATAATTCTTTTAGGACGTCCTTGAATATAATTATCCCTTTTTATTTATATTTGACTTGTAATTCCTAATTTAAATTCAGTAATATATTAAAAATCAATTTGTCTCCAGTTTTTAAAAACTAACCACAAAGAGAAGGAGAGAAATGATTATATATATATATATATATATATATTCAATCCCTTAAAAATTATAAAACACTTTTAACTTAACTAATCATTAATGTATACTTTCTTTTTTTTTTGATTAATATTAATGTATACTTTCTAATAAGTTAGTTAATAACATTATAATTGCACATTCCTTCCATAATTATTCTTATTTAATAAGTCGTCTCAATTAAAAAACTTTAATAGTTACATGTCTAATTAATGATATTTTTGAAAAAAAACTATATTAATTATATCTTAAAAGACCAAACATGTCTTATATTTTTTAATAACAAAAGTTGCATTCAAGGATCTGATAAGAATATTATTTACATAAGAAAATTAATACAAAATAAATTATTATTAAAATAGGAATATGAATTTTCTTTTTATCGAATCATGACTTATTATTGATTCTTTTTTGCGAATAGCATTCTTCACATATCCTAAAATATAATTCTCCCTTTTTAATATGATATTTCAGGAAAAATGTCTTATAATGCTGAATAAAAGAAGTAAATTGTTTTTAATATAATTACCTAATAATGTAAGATTCAAGTATTGTTAGAATTAATTGAGAATAATCTCCTAATTTTTTTTTACCTTTACATAAACGTAATCCAAAACCTTGATTATATAGGTAACTTATATATATATATATATATATATAAAATAATAAACATAGATTCCTCACGCGGTTCATAAACCATACAGATAGAAGTTTATGGTTTTATATATTATTTTCATGTTTTATTTTCAATTTCGTTTTTTCATTGTTAAAAGAATTAGCACTCCCTTGTAAACGCAAGATGTTATTCAACTATCCGGTAAGACTAAAAACCTGTGTGTGTGTGTGTGTGTGTGTACAGTGCAAGAAATTTAATCTCATGTAATAAATGGAATTTAAATCAAATCTGAAGGGGCAAAAAGAAAATTTAAAAAATGTTAAACTACATAACATATTTTATGCGCGCGCGCGCGCGCAGGGGTCAATAATTAGATGGTTTAGTGGATTTACATTGGAGGCATCCTTGTGGCCTAACATTGGAGAATGGGTTGGGCCCACAGGAAGACAACCTCGTGGTGGGGGCCCACCAGTCACAACCTTCCATCTCATTCCCCTAAATCGTCTACGCACCCGAAGCACCCCTTCTTTCTTATTCGGCGCTTGCACTTTCTTCAGAAATTTCTTCATATAAACAATATTGTCTATATTTGGTTATAATAAAATATTTTTATTATTTACTTAGTTATTTATTATTATTCACATGTAACTACCCCAAGTGCCAACATGGTTGAATCAGTCAATGTATAGCGTGTGACTCCATTGTGCCTTGCCACAATATTTGTTTAATACAATAAGTTGATATTTAATTTTATTAAATTAATTTTGAATTTGAATATTATTATAAGATTGGTAATTCAACCTAACTTGAGTAAATCCAAAAATGTTATGGATGGACTCGACAAAATAACAAATTTTTTATGAAAAAAATACAAAATATATTAAATAGTAATTATTTCAATAAATTTTAATTCATTTATATTCAGAAATTATATACTTGAGTAAAAAAATTAAAAATATTAATAATTTAATATTTTTCTTATTTTTAATTTACAAAATATCTTAAATAATATTTAAAATATATTTTAATATTGGTTTTTAAACTTTAAGACTCACAATTTTTTTTAAAAATTGAGCATTTTAAATTTTTTAATTATTCTAAAAATGTATTTTTATAATTAAAATAATTAATTTTAAATTAAAAATTATTTCTTTTAAAATTTTGATAATTTAAATACTTGGGCTAGCTGAAAACCAAAGAGTATTATGGTTGAATTTGGCTATATAGGTTTTCTTTATAATTTGGATTTATTCAACTTGCTCAAATTAAACCCAACTTGCCTAAATTACTAGCTCCAATTGTTAGAATGATCTTTTCAATATAATTTCTTTGGAATTAGATTCTGTCCATTTTCTTTTCTCTTCACTTTTTACCTTAATTGTTGGATCAAAATTTTGAGTATATCAAGTTTAATAATTTTTTAATAATGTCCGTATTGCAATTCTAAACTATTCTAACCAAGTTTTAGCAATTGAAATTTATTTTTTATTTAATATTTTATTAATAATTTTTTAGATTTTAAATCTAAATTGGTCAAATTTTGAATATCATATCCAATACTAGCATTAACGAATTTAAATAGTGATAACTATGCATCTTTCTAAATTATTATTATCATAATTAACCGTTTAGAAGGGGAAAAAAGAAAAAGAAAATATCACTAAATATAACCCCACTAAACCTTTTCAATTCTTCAATTACATCAATCTATGCATATCACAAATTATATTAACTTTAATTATTCAACTTCTAAAACATGTACCCACTATATCATCTTTTTATAATCTATAAATTAATGTTAATAATCTATAAATTGATAATTATACTTACAGGTAATAAAAAAATAGAAAAATGTTATTGGTAAGTCATATATATTACAAATTAAATATAGAGTAGAAGGCTAGAAGCTCATAATCCAATTTTAAAATGATTCAAATTGTTGATACCAGTCCAGCCTGTCTTTTTTTTTTTCCTTTATTTTTTTTGGCAAAAAAAACAGCCTGTGAAATTCCGTTTAAAAGAAGAATAAATTATACATACCCGCGGATCTCTCTCTCTCACACACGCTCTTTCTCCAGTTTTATTGTAAATCATTTTTCATTAAAGAATAATTTTTAACTTATTAAATTTATCTTAAAATTTTTAAAAATTACTTTATCCATATTAAAGAGAAATTATTGAAACATTAAACTAGAATTTAAATTTTCTCTTAGTATTTGCTAGGAATAAAATAGAAAAATATTAATAATTAATAATCTATTATGTATTTATATTTGTTCAGAAAGCGTGAGTGTGTGTCTGTATGTATGTGTGTGTGTGTGTATATATATATATATATTAGATAACAAAATATGAATATTAGGCGCAAGCGGCACAGAACATACCGTACTACGCTACGGCGTTCGAGGAGAACGGCTTCCTTGGCGTTCAGTGTGTGTCTCTGTGAGGCTTCGACAATTGCCACCCCATTACCAGAGAGGCTCCTTCTTTAACCTTTTCTCTTTCATCGTTATTCTTCTTCCTCTGATTCCTTCCTCTTTCACATACCTTAATTCTCCTTCTTCTATTCCAATCCCCAGCACCTTCCTTCTCCGTTAAGATTTTTTTTGCTTCAGTTTCAAATTCTGATACATCATCCCCCAATCTTCACTTTCATACGACGCCTTCAGTTCTTTGCTTTGAATCTGAGCATCTTTCATATAGTGACGCCGCCGCCGCTTGCTGCTGGGGTTTCAGTGTAGCGATCCGGCATTCGAGTAATTTCTGTTCGGAGATCGATCTGCTTTGCTTGATTGCTTTTTGCTGGTGCTGCTGTGCTTTTGGACTCGCTGTCAATAGAGTAAACGGCAGAATGTGGTGGATGATGGGAGAAGCTGGAGGCCATTACTGTTCCAAGAAGACCGATGATTTGTGCGGCGATGTTTGTGGTGATCAGGTATTTCTTTAAGTTTATTGTGTTCCTTTTATTGTAGGTCCGCTTCCTTATAAAACTGTTTGTTGATCTTCTATTGGGGTTCCGGTTAGGGTTTATAGTTCCGGGTACTTGGGTTTCTGAAGCAATCCCGAATTCGATAGATCCCTAAAACGGTCACTTTTTTGACATTTTTAATTCACGACTTTAGCTTGCCCTCTGTTTGGATTAATTACAATTATGCATCGAGTTTGCTATAAATTCCTCACTGGCCTAGAAGCCAGGGTAGTCATGGCTAGTTCATTATTGAGTTGCCGGACAGAGCACCTACGGGGCACCCTGCTTGCCGTGCACAGAAGGTGAGTCTTAAAATGGGGGCAAAAAAAAGTTTCCAAAAATAAAAACAAAGAAATAGATGAAACGCACCTTTTCTGATTGGGAGCACGGTATTTGTGCTCGACAGGATTTGAATTCTTAGCTGCCTCTGTTTCTCTGGGTTTGTGGATTGTGTACGGAATATTTGTGATCTGAATTGGGATATAGGAGCAAGGATGAGTAAGATTTTGACGTTTGGGTTCCCCTCTGTTTTTGGGGTTTAATGATCCCTCTTAGGCTTTATAATTACCCAGTTGTTCTTGGTGTTATGGAAATTTTAAATATAATTGCCCTAAAAATATGCTTATGAAAAAATTAGCTTTTTGATTATGCGTTACTTTATTGCATGATTGAATGAAGCTGCATTGTTATGTTATCTTTGTGGTCTTTCATTCTTGAAAGAAAAGTTTATTGTTCTCTTAGATGCTTGTTTTTCCAATACGCAGGGATCAAGCCAAGTATCAGGCATGTCAAGAGTTCGATGCATTTTGCGTGGTTTGGATGTAAAGACCTACATATTTCTTTTTGCTGTCCTCCCGATGTGTATCTTTGGAATTTATATACATGGACAGAAAATTTCATACTTTCTGCGGCCACTTTGGGAAAAACCACCCAAGCCTTTCAAGGTTATCCCGCATTACTACAATCAGAATGTGTCAATGGAGAATCTCTGCAGACTTCATGGCTGGGGAGTCCGTGCCTCCCCAAGACGTGTTTATGATGCTGTGTTATTCAGTAATGAGTTGGAAATACTGAATTTACGGTGGAGAGAATTGTATCCTTACGTATCAGAATTTGTCCTTCTTGAGTCAAATTCTACGTTCACTGGATTGTCGAAGCCTCTTGTGTTTAAAAGCAATCGGGAGCGGTTCAAATTTGTTGAGCCCCAGTTGACATATGGGACTATTGGCGGAAGATTCAAGAAAGGAGAAAACCCGTTTGTTGAGGAGGCCTATCAACGAGTAGCACTGGACCAGCTTCTTAAGATAGCCGGTATTTCAGATGATGACTTGTTGATTATGTCTGATGTTGATGAGATACCGAGCGCTCACACTGTCAACCTTTTAAGGTGGTGTGATGACATACCATCAATCCTCCATCTTCAACTCAAGAATTATCTTTATTCCTTTGAGTTTCATGTGGATAATGACAGCTGGAGGGCTTCAGTTCACAGGTATCAGAGCGGAAAGACAAGGTATGCTCATTTTCGCCAGTCTGATGACTTGTTAGCAGATGCTGGCTGGCATTGTAGCTTTTGTTTCCGCCGAATCAGTGATTTCATTTTTAAGATGAAAGCCTACAGCCATTATGACAGAGTAAGGTTCTCTCATTATTTAAATCCCAAAAGAATTCAGAAAGTAATCTGCAAAGGGGATGACTTATTTGACATGCTTCCAGAGGAGTACTCCTTCAAGGAAATCATTAGTAAAATGGGACCTATACCCCATTCCTATTCTGCAGTTCATCTTCCTGCTTATCTTTTGGAGAACGCAGAGAAGCTCAAATTTCTTTTGCCCGGAAATTGTGTAAGAGAGAGTGAATGATTTCATACCGTTCGAGGGTTAGACAAATAACTGAAGCTTTACTGACTGTCGCTCAATTGGAGGGCTGGGTTATGTCCATGTCCGGTGAGATATTATTTGAGAATGCATTGAGATCAGACAGATGCCATGATGCTGGGTGGGATAGGGGAACTTGTACATAATTTAGAGCTGAACTTCATTCAAGAGGGAGCAGTGTCTGTTCTGATCTGATGAACGAGGGGATGTTTGGCTTAGATAATTATTTAGTCTTGTATTCACTCTGGACAGGCGTGGCTGATCCCCGGATATGTTGGATGACTCGTTTCCTTCGGGGAGTTTTGTCTTGGAAACGAATTTTATTTGTTTCTTTTTTCCCTTGTTATTCCTATTTGATGCTAAATATGCCTCTTCTTATTATTGGTTATATATTTGGTTATATGTCTTCGTTTTTGGGTGATTTTTTTTGTTTAAAATTTGATAGCTAATACTCTCCCAATACCTATTATAATATAAGGTACTTTTAATCACCTAATTGGAATCAAGAAAAAGATGATTAAATCATTAATATTGTTTGAGAAAAGAAGAAATTTTTAATTTTACTTCTATTTAAATCAAAAAATTTTAAATTTACATTACATCCTCTTTCATAATTAATGAATTTAAATAAGATTAATATAAAAAAAAAATTAACTAATGCCCATCAAATGCTTTATATCCCCCTTCTCCCTTTTAATTGAACAAAACAGCATGAGCTTATACAAATAACATGGGAAGAGTCAGCTGGTATATAAATAATACTGGTCAATTTGGAATCTGAACAAAAACGCACATGTATATGTAATGGATTAATCAATGTCCAAAACAAGAATCCAGCTCTCGTGTGTAGTTTGTATCTTATTCCAAAAAAAGAAAAAGAGAGAAAATTGTTACATCATCTCGCACATTTCCTATTGGGAAGGAGCCCTAAACAGCGTTTCATTTATGAACAATTGTCAGCAGAATCGATCGTGTTTTCTCCATATCCAAATCCTCAATTGAGTCATTAATTCCATTATCCAAACGGATTCAAGACTCTTATGCAATGCTTGGCAAGTAAAAAAAAAAAAAAATATTTCCTAGAAAGGATAGAAGTGCACCTATAATATTTTCTTTCTAAGTATAGCTTTTATTTTTCTTTTTCAAAAAATACTTTTTCGTATACTAAACATGCTATTAATTCTTATTAGAGGGATTTATTTTGGCAATAGCAATGCAAAATTCAGTTTAAAAACACTATCTTTTAGAGCTATTACACCACATCCATAAAATATGAAAGCTCCCCAAAATCAAACAAATCTTTCCTGTAAACAAGTAGAGAATATGATAACATAAATAATACAGAGGAATAAATTATGGAATTTAGGAAGAAGAATGCAAGAGAGAGATGCCTGAAAATTCATAGGCTGCACACTGGACTTATGCCCACACACAAGGGCGGTCCTAAGTAGTGGTTAGTGTGGGCAAATGCCTCTTAAAATGAAAAAAATTACATGAATGATATGGTAGATTTTGCATTTTGCTCCCACTAATCTTGTACCAAATAGATTGTTCCTATTGGCTCAGGGTCCTAGGTCTGCCACTATCTACAGAGGCATTTATAGAGCATAGATTAGACAATACTGTTGATAAAAATAAATACTAACATTTTTAGATTTCATGGGTTCTAGATTTAAATCTAGTTAAATCAAAACTTTTTTGATAAGCTCTTTTTAAATAAATATTTTTTTTATTTTTAGCAAAAATAATTTCATTTTCATCTATTTTCACACGAGGGGAGACTATCTATTTTCAACTCCGCTAACTATTGTTGATCATGCATGCAAGATCTCTTCTATTCTAAACCAATTAGTCCATTTTCACTCATCGGTACTTATAGAGCTACTCTCAAGTAGGCAACGTGGGACTTCTGTTTTTCCGACACAGCCGCACATAACTACAACATTTTCTTCTTAATCCTTCTTGCAGAACCTGATCAGGGTTTAATTATGAGCTGAATTGTATAAAAGTTGATGTCTTTGTTTGAAGTTCACTTCTCTTAATTTCTTTTGATGGCCGATGCTAATCAATTGCCCTCTTCTTTTGGCGGAAACAGTATCGTATAAATGATTAATAAAGTAGGTATTCAAGTCTTGTACCTGCAACAAATACTTGATGATATTATAGCATTAATTTAAATTCGAGACATCAAGGCCCCAGGGATACCATCCATCTTCCTAAATCAGATGCTCGATCCTCGCCTTTTTTTTTAAAAAAAAGAAAAATACAAAAAGCAAGAACTAGCTTGAAGGAATACGAAGGTCCATGGGATTGGATCCTAGGTGGCTTATACATCCAATAACAAAACGTGCTCAAGCTCATCAGGAGGGTGATACTAGTACAAAATATCATTTTTACAAGGCATTTTTCATTGGTTGGAAGGCAAACGGTATAGAAAGTGTAAGTCATGACAATCTTATAATAAAAACTTCCCAATCATCCAATAGCAATGATCTGATTAATTGGATGCATGCCTTCACATGCTCCTTGATGAGTTATTTTTTCCACTGTAGATTCTATTATAGTGCTTCTAGAGAGTCAGTAAACCGCTGAATTTTCTTGTAACCAGCAAATCTTCAAACCCGTTGTGACGGCTAAAATTTCTGCTTCACTTACACTTTTGGGTCCAAGATTTTGAGCAAAACACATGGCTTCCGCAAGGTTTTGGTCAGTAACTGTGGGAACTACCACGGTTCCTGACACGAACCATGGGATGATCCCTCCGTTTATCTGCAAGTTTTATAATGAAAGATATGTTTTCAGCCTAAAGATTTTTGATACCCAATCTACTGCCTTTTGGCCTCTGGATGTGGTGTTCCATGCAACATGATGCATATTTTTATTTCCTGATTCATCATTCCAAAGGAAATCCCTGCTGCTGCATTTCTCAATATCATTAAGAATGCCTTTGGGGTGAAGCATAGATTAAGCATTAAGTGCGCCCAGAAAGAGAGGAAATGACAGATTTGATGAGCACAATTTTCCCAACCATGTTGAAAGTTTTTGGTGAACCTTAGCAATAAGCAAAAGGAAAATTATCTTTCAAACTGTTTCATAAGAAATTGGCTCATTTCCATAGCTATGTTAAAATGAACATTTGGAGATAGCAAAACATTTTGTTTATATATATATATATATATATATATGATTCTTTTTGATTGCTCACAAGTATGGCCTCCTATTGGAGGCAATTCTGTTCTAAATATGGTCAAGCACTAAATGTGAGCACCTTTCTTTACAGAGATTCAAAACTTATTTTATTATATTGAGAGAAACTAGTTCCTTCTGCTAAACTCAATTAGTGGATTATATAATATGATTTCTACTAAAATAACAATAAATTATAATTAACTCCAAATGCAATTTAATAATATAAATTTATACTGTTTGTTCACACAAATGCGCACGAGAGATTTAATAAGAAAATATTCTATAATGTAACAAGTGTGACATGTTATTCCAACCAAGTGGTGTTAAACCTGGTTCTGGACGTATCAAAATAATGGGATGCTTTCTTTTCTTCCTACCCAGAGAATCCAACTTGGGGAATTGCTGATAAGGCTCCAAATTCATTTTTCCATTTCAAATATTCCTTATCCCTAATGATAATAATAAAAGAGATAGCCACGTTATCAATTTGGCTATAAAAACCAAGCATAAGAACTCAAATTTAAGCATGCAGATATATCTCTCCATTTGAGCAAAATGGGAAGAGGAGGTGGGTTATACCAACACCAATACTATGGTTATGGCAATGAATATGTTTACAGTGGCATGTGGATGGACCAGTCTCAGTCTGAGTCTGATCAGCAACAACAATAACACTTTTGTTCATCAACATTCATGGACCTCCCCACCCATGAAGCCTCCTTGTTCTACTCCTGCCGCCTCAGCCTTCTGCGGTGGCGGTGGCCGTGGCAGTGGTGGCTTTGGTATGCATCCCCAAACTGCTTATGGTTCTTCCAGCCACCACGGCTACGCCGGAACCGTCTCTGGAGGACTCAAAAAGTTCGACTCCAGTGGGTATAATCGATACACCGAAGAGGTGGCCGGGTATGACAAGGGTAGTTACATGGAGGAGAGGTATGGCGGTGGTGGTGGTTGGATGATGATGAATGAGGAGGAGCATGAGGATGAGATGAGGATGAGAATGGGGAGTCACAGCTGTGGCTTCAATCCCTATCATCATCATCATAACTACAACAATAATGTTCCCTCAAAGCCTCAATACGCTCACTTGCAGCAGTACTACCGGGATCCCAAGGGAGTCTCTGCTTCACCCTAGACACTATTATTATAGATAAATATGAAGCCTTCGTATTTAATACTGATAAACTATGTATATGTGTGTGCGAGCTGTTACTTTTACTATAATGTAATAAGCTTAGTGAGCCTTTTCAATTGTGAACCTTGTGATGTTCTGCTTGGAAGTTTCTTGAAATTGTAATGTCATGCATTGCACAATTTGCAATTCAAAGGCCTAACGTAAGTCAAGTCAAGTGGTAGTTGAACTAATAAGGGAATATTTGGCAATGGAGACAAGCATGGAAAGGATATGAGCGTTTTACAAATGGATTCAGATCTCTGTGCTCCGTCAGCTAGATAAATATATATATATATATATATATGCTTGTTTACATTTTGAATTTCGTCTCTTTGAAGGGATGATATCTGTCCACCACTATCTGCTAATTGATTTGAATAAACTATTTTCTGCATGTAAGCTTGTTTTATGTTGAACATGTATTGTCACTAGTATATCTGTATATTTGTATGGATATAATTGGCCATCAAGTTCAAAACTGATCATAAAAGGATATTTAGTTAATTTGAATACAAAAAGTCCAACAAAATATTCGTTAGGAATTATCAAGTATTTAGAGTTATAAAGTCTGAAAATATTACAAGCAATTAGAATAGTATCGGACTCCTAAACTAAAATTGGCATGCGTGTCCGCGTGCACACATGCCTTTGGTCATCATATTTGTAAATCACTTTTAGCATGTTCCATCAAAATTAAGAAAAACCTTAAAATTTCTTAACTTTATCTAAAATTTAATAACTCAATTTTAATTTACCCCTATTAAATATATATACTTTAACAACATATTTTCTCTTTTTAACATTCAATAGAGGGTGAATGGAAAAATTTTTGATAAAAATTTAATAAAGTAACATATAAATAGGATAAAAAAATATTCTTTCTCTATTCTATAAATAGGACCAAAAGGTGTGTATAACTTTGTGCAATTTGTAACATTCTGAATTTAATTTAAGAATTTAAATTAATTAATTGGTGACTTAATTAATTAATTAATTGGGTCAATTAGTAGTTAATTAATAGGTTATGACGGCTATTTAGGCCTAT